CGAGACGAGTTTTATTTACCTCGAATATGACTCGATTCAAAAATTTTTTTGTTTTTTTTATATCCAAATTTGATCCGATCTGACACTATATAAACTGTATATAATCTGAAATTAATAAAATATTATTTTTTATAATATAAAATATTATTTTTAAAATATAAATATTTAAAAATATTATTATATAAATATATATAAATAAATAATTAAAAAATTAAATTAAAAAATAATTTTTTAATAATATCAGATCGAGTAAGATTGAGTTTACCTAAAACCCGAATCTAATCTGATCTCGATTATTTTTTAACCTTATCCGACCCAATTCAAAATCTAAAATTCAAAAAAAAAAAATAATCTTATAAGGTCAATTGGATCGAAATCCGTCAGGATCGAGTTGAATTTTCATCCTTACTATTGACTACTTAAACATACAACTAAAAAAAACACTGCCACCATCATGAACCTCTCATAACATAAAATTCAACCCAAAAAAAAAAAAAAAAACATGAAACCGTTCTTGCCTTCCATCTCTCCGTCAAATAACCACCACCTCCTACATTAAATAGTCACGTACACGATATAAAAAAAAAAATTATAACAATGCACGAACACATTTTTAATATTCTTAATAATTATATATATTAAAATAATTTAAAATATATTTAATGTCACGAATATATATAAATATATCAAATGATATATAAAGAGTGATTAATTTATATAATATAAAATTTTTTAATTGGTATATATATTTTCTTACTTTTGTTTTTAATTAATCGAATGATAAGATTAAATTATTTTTTATTTTTATTGTTATCTATTAAAATTAAAAAAAAAAAAAAAAGTAAAACTATCGATTTAATGGAATAGTGAAAAGTCACGAGCCGGAAGCTTCAAGACAATAGCGTAAAAGGCTTATTAGACAAATAGACAACTTTTTAAAGCTAGGGACTCGTGGTCAAACTAAAAAGCCAAAGTTACCGTAGAATATGCGCATACTCTTTTTGACTTTTTGTATTTTTTATTGTTTATTTATATAAGATGGACGATACTGTTTGTTTTCTTGACTTTAATGTAAGATTAAGGACTTGTCCTTCGGAAATGTTTCTATGACCATCTTTGAGTTTGACCCTTTTTCTTTATAACGAAGAAGCTTAAGCCAAAGGAAATAATGATAATAGCATATAAATGCATATCATGTTTGGTCATTTAATTTTTTTAATTCAAAATCTTACAATTATAATTAACGGATTAATTGAATTTAAGTTAATAAAAATCAAATATTTTATTTGCAAATTTTAATTTTAATTTTATTGATAATAAATTTTTTATAAATAATCCTTAAATTCAATAAAAATTTTTATTTAAACTTACGATAAATCAAATAATCTTCTCTCATTTTTTATTAAAAATTTCTTACAAATATCAAAATCAAATTTATGAAAAAAATTATCTCTAATTGTGGAATTCAATGTCACACATATTTAAGAAAAAAAATTCACGGAACTTATATATTAGCCTGCAAACAAAATTAAGACGAATTTATTGTAATTTGATTGATTAAATTGCTTCCTTGAAAATTATAAACTAAATTTAACATTTATCATCCTAAGGACAAAATGCATATAGCAGTAACATTATTTACATTTCACCTATAGTTTTGTTTCCCGGATATTTACGAATCAATCATTATATACATACATCATAACAATAGGGGAACATTATAAAATTTGGGTGAGAAAAAAAAATGATTTACAATTATACTGTTTGATTTGATTTAAATTAGTTTTTATATTATTAAAATTTGATCAAGTTTGAGTGCTAAATATATATATATATATATAATTCGGATTGAATTGAGATGTAAAAAATCGATAAAAATTAAATCGAATTAAATATATATTTTTAAAATTTTATAAAATAAAATAATTATTTTATGTAAAAATATATTTAAATATAATAAAAATTTTATTAAAATTATATACAAGAATTTGAAATTTAAAAATTAATTAAAAAAATTTAATTCAAATTTAAATCTAATTTTAAAATTTTATAATATTATAAATTATAAAAAATTTGAATGGAATCAAATTCGATCTTAATTTTATCTCTTTTACGCAATAACAGCCATCAATTTATTAAAAAAAAATCATCGTAAACGAATTTTCCTGCCAGGCTGGTGGTCTAAATATGTACAAATTTGTAATTTACATTGATGAATGTGGAAAATTTTCTCATTTATTTTATCGAGAATGTAGAGTTGGAGGTTTCCCAGAATGTTTATCTGTCCAGCTGAACCTTTTTTATCTTTTTCAAATGTTCATTTCCTCCGTCCACGCCATAAAAGTCCAGCGGAAGGATTAAAGTTGTTGATTCGTAATCTGTAAGTGGCCTGGGGGATCTGACCATGGGACCCGCATCCATCCCTATGATTTCTTTTTTTATATATTTTTTTTCTTATAATAGAAATATGAAACTGATCTGAGGGAGGTTTGATCTTGTTTCATAAACAAATTTGAATTAATAATTGTTTAATACATGACGTCAAACAAATCACAATTCAAAGTTTTATTCATTTTCTTTCTTTTTTATTCAAAGCTTTACTAAATTTTTTTAGTGACTTGTTTGGATCAAATCTTCTAGTGGGTTTTAAATTGTTTTTACTTATGTGGCTTACACAACATAATGGAACACCGGTTTTTTTTGTAAGTCTCATATGAAAAACCATTAAAACAACAATAATTTATAATTTTGCTAACGAATTTTGTTATGATACATTTTAAAATATATATTAATATTCCCTTGCTATATGTAATAAAAAATAATAAATTCCCAATTCTTCATTTTGTAAGAGTTGGGTGAGAATTTATAATACATAATACAAAAGATATATCAATAAATGATTAATTCAATCAATTAAAACTTATTTTTTTCGGTAAATAAGTTTTGAATTCGAGTCTTATTAATAATCATTTATTGAAATAATCTCGAATGTACGATCTGTAACTACTTATTTTAAATTATTATGTACGATACCTTAACTTGAAAGATTAAATAATTTATTTATCTTTAAATAAAAAAATACAAAAAATATAAAATGTATCATAATGTGAAAATCTTTCCAACACGCTATCAAATGGATCCTTAGACATAATTTTGAAGACTCAAAGTATGAAAGCATTAGTAATAAACTTGGAAGAAAAACTAGAAGCTTCTAAACTCCTTGCAATTCAAGTAAAATCAAAGACCAAATGAAGACAAAAGTGAAATTGTTACATTCTAGTCAAAAGTAAACTAATGACTAAAAACATGGGAAGTGGAATGTGATTTTTCTAAAGTGGGATATTATAGTAAAAGGCAGCAGAGATTTCTTCTTTGAACAGTTGCTTGATCATTCAAACTTTAATAAATATTCCAAAAACCTGACAAATCCCATTAAGTTTCCAACTTTCCACAAAATATTAAGTTGGAAAATTCCACGTGTCTTGACTACTTACCGAAATAAAATTCTAAGCACGTTTATGTCCATCAAGGGTCTATACGAAGTTTCATAAATAAATTTTGTGAAAATTTTTATTAAAAATAAATTAATAAAAAATTTGAATTGATATATTAATAAAATTTAATGTAAAGATTAATAATGTATAAAAAAATTATTAAAAATATTATTTATAATTTAAATTTGATCGATATTTATTCAACAATAAAAATTTTATCAATATATTTATTAAATATATTAATATTTATTCAAGTTTGTTCAAAATATACACGTTTAATCAATGAAATAAAATATTTTAATTTATCAATTTTAATTTTTATTTATTCATTTATATAAAAAAAATTTACGAATTTAATTTATAAAATTTTAGTTAAATTTTTTCCAGTAAGAGATCATATTTTCTTGCGCTAATTTTATTCCTAAACAAACTAAATATATATATATATTATATATATGACATATTTATATAAATTATGTTATGATAATTTTTGTATTTTATATATGCTTCGATATGGATACTTGAATTACTAAATTTAATGATATTTGAAAAAAATGCAATTATATTTTATTAAAATCGAGGATTAAGTATGATTTTTTTTTTCAAAAAGGGCAATTAGGAAGGGACCAGGAAACTTAGAACTCAACAAAAGGATAGAAAACTTCTGGAGTTTGTCTGATGCTGTGTTCTAGGTTCCCAAATTTCCAAGCATGTGCTGTTCTTTACATGACATTGTGAGGGGAGAAGAAAATAAGATGCTGGAAATTGCAGTTGGAGCAGAATGAATATGACATAGTTTGTTTGATTAATTTAATGCAAATGATACAAGAATTGTAAAAGTCAAAATCAAAGGGAATTGACCAATGAAACAGAATCCAAGACACTGTTTGAAGAAAAGAAAAAAACCAATAAATAGAAAAGACAGGGAAAGGAAAACTGAAAATGAAGGAAGGGTTGACTAAATTAAAATGCAAACAAACAAGGCTTTGCCCTGGGATGCTTTTGTAGGGCCTAATGATCATTGAATGATGATGGTGCCCCATTAATTATAGTTTGTTGGATCTATTTAGGGTACTTCCAGGAAAAAAAAGCTATTGACTTTAAGGCTTGGGCTTTAATTTTTGATATGAAATGGCTTTCCCTGGAACTCAGGCTTGCTCTCAGAGGCCCTCACTCATGCAGATTTGTTGTGTTTGCTTGGGCTAACGGCCAGATGGCTCGAAGCAACTATTTTTAAAGAATTTAAAGCATTATCTACTTTACGGCAGCCCACTTTGATCAATAATATAAACATCATTTTTTTTAATCCCAGAACACTTGACAACAAGGAAAGTTACTTCATTTTTAAGATCAGAGGAAGTGATAAATTTACAAATGAATTAATGAATTGTTTGATATTTCTTAAATTTACCAATAAAGATTCATACCGGCATAAAATAAACATCATTAGCCTATCCACTGTTTGCCTAAAAGCAAACACATGCGGAAAAACACCTTCATTGCTGCTAATTATGCTAAATCATGGCGCGAATAGAATACATTGCACTTGAAACCAACCCCATTTTCCCCCATCATCTCTCCCACTTTCCTCTTTTTCTTTCTTTCTTTATTTCTATTGTGTTTATCTTTTCTTGCAATCTAAGCTTTGTTCAAGTTTATAACTCCAAGGCCAAAAACCCAGTTCATAAATTTGATCAGCTTTACCCACACACCTCTATGAAAGAAAAAATCCTTGGAAGAAATGAATTCAGTTTGCATTTCTAGTTGTCTGAATGATGCTAGAGACCCCAGGGTGCCTGTCAGGGCAACCTATGTGAATCTTTACAAGTGGCCAGAGTCAGATGCGGAGTTTGTGAGGTCAAGGAGGTCAGGCGCCATGCATGGCCAACCTAGAGTTGTTGACAGTATCTCCTGCAGGCAGATGTATTTAAGGAGCTATAGGTTTTCCAGGAAAGAAACTGTGCCTGAAAAGACTGTGAAATGCTTTGGGAGAGTGAAAGGGAAGGTGGGGGCTCAAGGGAAGAGGAAGATCAGCGGCCAAAATAGACGTGTTACAAGGAAGTTTTTGGTTCGGAGGAAAATGAAGGTTGTACTGTTTAGGTTTTTCAATAGGCTGCTTTCTTGCTCTGCTACTGTAGATGTTGTGGATCAAAGGAATGTTTTCTTCTGAACTTTTTTGGGTGATTATTTGATCTTGTTTTCATAATTATGCCATGTTTAACAGAAAATGATTTCAGGTTTATTCAATTTTTTTAACTGATTTCTATGTCTTCTCTTTGAAGGAAATTCTGATGATTTGCGGATTTGACAGCGAAAGTTATTTCCGTTCAAAAAGTTCCAGCAGTAGTTCAACTGATTTCTTTACTTTTTCTAAATTCATTTTGACTATCCAAACGCCTCTTATAAAAATATTTTACCAACCGAGAATTATATTTTTTTATTTATAAAAATTATAATATATAATTTTTAATTAAAATATAATATATATACATAAAATTTAATATTTTATATAGCATAAATACTAAAAACGTCGGGTCTGATAACCACAAAAAGCGGAAATAATCCCGTCTCTGGAGGGGCCTGACCCAAAGATTCAGATTTCCAAGCCCACAAACCTAGCTCTGCAGTCTGGACCCGTGGTTTAGGGAGGCTGGAGCTTGCAGCTTTAACAAACCCAACCAGGGAGTATAACAACCATTGCTAACCACAACATCTGAAAGTGGAATTTGAACATGAATTCAGGCTTTGAATCTTTAGTTATGCTTGCACATTACATAAAATTGAAATTAATATCCCAATGCTTACAGTTTTTAGAATTGACATTAACATTAGTCTTTTTCAATTTCTTGGTTTATTAGTTTTGTCTAGTTTGCAATATTTTGGAGTGTAAACATACGTTAAAGTAATTTTTTATTTTTTATTCCAAACATATTTTTCATAATAAAAGCATTTATTGATGAGCTTTTTGATTTTTGGAAAATCAAACTTTTAAATTGAAAATTTATTTTATTTTTTATCGTTTAACTTTGCATTTGGGTAAAAACAGATTTTGATAGCAAAAAACTATTTTCAACTGATTAAACAAAGCCTTGGTGTGATTTTTAATGGAGCATCATATTAAGGTTAAGGTAGCAACAACCATGAACGGCAAAAGCTGATATGATCTCAGATTTTCATCTTCAGCTTTCGTTCAACCTAACTAGGATTTCAAATTATCAGACAAAAGAAATAGATGAAGACGATTTAGTCAATTTCCAACAACTGCAATCTTCATAATAAAAACACCTTTGAATTCTAAATGCCAAATCGATATAATTGTCCACAACAACAACCCAAAGATTCCTATAAATTCATAACACGAGCATTCATTAGGTAGAAACACAGTAAGTAATGAAACATATTCAAGCTCTTGCAACAATATGAGAAGATGAGCAACAGCAGTTGCAGACCTCTTGCAGCAATTTTGCATAATAAGTGAAATCTAATACATCTGACAACCTAAAATAAAATACGATATGATAATATGATATTGAATAAGATATAAAAAAAAAATATATAAATGATATGATTTAAAATTTTAATAATTATTATATATAAATTTCATAAAATAAAAAAGAAATTCATATATTTATATCAATATAAATTATAATATTACTTTTTTTTTATTATAAAACATAATAAATCATGTAAATTTTAGTATTTTATATGATAAATATATTTTATATTTTTATATTAATACAATTGTGATACAACTATTTTTTTGATAAATTCGATGCAAATGCATAAATTTTAATAGTTTGAATCTACTTCGTATCAATTCGCTTTTCAACAATCCCCATTTAATCAAAGCTCGAATTCTTCATCTCTAAGGGCGAGCTCAGCAGCCTCTTCATCTTCATCATCATCATCAAGAACAAAGTACTCATTTTTCTCCACCGGCCTGAACATATAAAAGATCACCAAATAAAACGCCAGAGTAGCGGTCTCCTCCGCTGCATTGCTGACCCACTGATACTTGTAAGCTGCGATGGTCCTCAAAGCAAACACCACAATTCTTGTAAAATACAAATACCCAATCACCACAATGTAAAACTGCCGAAACAGAGTCAACTTGGCCAAGTTCCTCGCTGCCTTTCCATCAGTTTTCGAGGTTTCTCTCAGTGAACGAATCGACCAAACAATTGGGAAAATAATGGCGCAACAGCAGATGATATCAACCAGCAAAAACACCTGGTTCCATGTCACCCAATCTTTAATAAACGGCCCCATTTCTCCGATCACGACCGACGCGATATTAGCTAAAACTTGAAGTGGAATCACGATCATCAAAACTTTCTTTTCCCTTTCTTGTAAAAAGGGTTTCAAAAACGACCAACCGGTGCCAATCAAAACGATGACAGTGAAGAGCAAAACGACAGGAGGAGGATTAAGGGCATTTTCGTCATTTTTGGGGAATTCATTGCGGCTGTTGTGACGGTTGGCGTGGTGGTTACAACGGTTTGGTCGAGGAAGGGAAAGGGCATCGGCTGCTTTCCGGACTTGATCGTTGTTGAGATGTTTTATCAGAAATTCATCTGTCTTTGATTTCAACTTTTCAAGTCAAAGCGACGTCGGTTTTGGGAACGAAAAATTGGCCTCGATGTTTGATGGAAACCGGTGTGTTTGGTTCAGTAGAATGGGCTCAGAGATTTATGAGTTTGCCGAAAATGGTTCAACCCATTTACTACTCAAGCTCGGCCCAACATGGCTCACCCTCAATATATGAATTTTTTATATAGGAGGCCGTACCGCCGCGGGACTTTAATTAGAAAAAAACAAAAGAAAAAAGTTTCTTTTTATAAATAGAAAGAGTAGTGCTAAATGCACAAATTTTTTTTTTTTCACAATTCAAATTGTTCTTTAAACTTTTTAAAAATAAAATTATTTAATTTTTTTATATAAATTTTTAAAAATTTATTTTCAAATAATTATAAAATTTTAGAATAAAATAATTTTATTTTTTAAAAAATTGAGATATAAAGAGAAAAAATAGATAACAATGCACAAAAAAAATAAAGTAATTGGATAACAGAAATCACAATGGCTATTGGCTAAGAGGATTTGAAAAACATGGGGGGGGGGGGAACACATTGAACAGAAATGCTAAGAAAAAAAAGGTACACACTTTAACACTTTAATGACTGGCAGTTAGGTACAGAGAGTTCAATAAGTAAGATATGAATAAGATAGAATATTAATTATATTTTTTGTATTTTTATATTATATATATTTTTGTATTGGTATTTAATGAATATTTTAAATTTATTTTTATTTCTATGCTTTTGAGAATTTAACAAATATAAATAATTTTTATACTAGTAATTTTTTAAAAAAATAAAAAAAATTAATATTTTTTATTTTTATCTTGTGTATTTAGATAATTTTTTATTAATATATATATTTTTAATAAAATATATTTATTTTAATTAATCTAAAATAATGATTTATATTATTTAATAAAAAATTATTTATTAAATTTATATAAATATATATAAAATACAAGTACGAGATAAATATTATATTACTCGTCTTAATCCTAGTATATAATCACAATATAATATTCATTTTCATTCTTATTCAGATAAAAAATTAAGTTTTTTAATGTGTATGGATAAGATTGATATTCTTAACAAGGTAAAATTTTTGTTGATTTTTTGTAAAAATTTATTTATTGATTACTATATTGTATAGTTGGATTATTTTTATTGTTGTTTGGTCTTATCTAGGTCTTATAAAGATATTTATATATATTTAAAAACATTAAAATAATAATTTTGTTCATTGAAATAATTTAAACATGCGTGTGAATAAGTTTCTTTATCAATCAATTGATTAAAAATGTTATTCTAAATATTGAATATAAGTTTAAATGATGTGCATGTTAAACAAAATTTAAGAAATTACAAGTTCAAATGTAATTTTTTTTAAAAAAATTAAATATATAAAAATTAAAAGTTAAAAGTAGATTATAAAATTTTAAGAATATCTTATATTAATAATAATAATAATAAATATTAAAAATTTATATTTTTTAATTGTCTGAATTTAAATTCATTATAAATAAATTTACTTGCATTGATAAAAAATTTATAAAATAAAACCTAAAAATCCTTCTGAAAATAAAGCTATAGTTCAAGTACTTTATAAACAATAAATTTTAGATAATTTAGAGAAGATAAAATTTGAACTTAGAATCTTTTATTAGTGAAGACAGATCATCATTCAATAAAATAAAATAGAGCAGAAACAAGGAAAACAATAAACGAATTAAAAAAAAAAAAAGAAATAGAGGGGGTATTTTAGCCATTTTACAACTCGCAGTTCCATTAAATAAAAATTTGTTCACTTCAAGGTGGAAGAGTCTGGGGTGATGACGTCCGGCTCCATCGTTAGGATCAGATCACCTAAGAAACACGCGAACAAAAAAATTTCAATCCCCAAAATACCCTCGTATTAATCTCAAATCTACATGTAACGTTTCTCACTTTGTCTTGTAATTTCATCCAAAACACAGGACCAATTAAGCCCGTCCATTCCAGGATTATCTATTTATGGCTTAGCCCCCCATTTGCCATTTTCTAGCTCTTTTTAAAAAATTTTGCCCTTTTTTCCCAAACAATTTAAAAAAAAAAAAATCAAATTTCGAAGCTTTCTGAGAATTGTGACGACGCGGGATTGTTGCATCACCAATCATAGTAAGGAAAAAAAACAAGAACAACGTTGAAAATTCAAAGGAAAATATTTTGAACAATCTTAGAATTTTTTTGCCCAATTTTTAAATCTGTAAGTTGAATGACTTTGAATGCTATATTATTTTTGATGTCACAATTTTGAATTAAAAAGTTTGATTCTTTAATCTGCAATTGTCGTTATTTAAATGCATTTCTATCTCTTTGTGTTGTCAATCTTGTTTGACTACTTTAATTGTACCATCAACGTTTATTTTTTGTTTGGTTGTTGAGAAAATGGGAGGAAAAGTAATTCGTGTTTCTGGTGTTTCTAAAGGTTAATTTTTTCTTCTTTCATAAGAAATATATATTTTAACATTCCATATTGGGTCTATGTAATATTCGTTAAACTGGGATTTCAAGATTTGGTAGGAAAGTGTTAGCTGAAAGATTCCGGGGCTTGCTTTCCTTTTTTTTTTCCTTTTCTTTTATTATTTGCTTGATGATCAGAAGGGAACGTTTTAAGGTTTTATATTTGCTTCGTTTAATTTTGAATTGAATGCAGATACCTGAAGGTAAAGGATCAATAACGTTGAGAAGAATCGAAGAGTTTTGAATCTTTATATTAATTTGTTGGATTCTTTTTGGATAGAAAATAAAGAATCTGAAAAAGGGTTTGTGTCATTTTTGCCTTAAATTTTTGTTTATCTGATAAAGGCTTAGTTTTGACAAATGAATGTGGTTGGCAAAGTTGGGAGTTTAATTTCACAAGGTGTTTATTCTGTTGCTACTCCTTTCCATCCTTTTGGTGGGGCTGTTGATGTGATTGTTGTTCAGCAACAAGATGGGACTTTTCGAAGCACACCTTGGTATGTTCGGTTTGGGAAGTTTCAGGGTGTTTTGAAAGGGGCTGAGAAGGTTGTCCGTATAACTGTTAATGGCATTGAAGCGGATTTCCATATGTGTCTTGATAACTCTGGGGAGGCATATTTTGTAAGGGAGGTTGACTCTGGTAAAGGAATTGAGACAAATGGAGATTTGAAAGATTCGGATGGTGAATTCATACAGGATGACGGCAATAAAAAAATTGCTGAATTTTGTAGACTTGAACATAGTGTCTCAGATTCTGGGGTGGCTCAGTTGAGGAACGAATATGATGCCACAAGTCCAAAACGGCTTGAAAGGACGGAATCGGATACTAGGTTCTACGAATTTCAAGATGAGCAGTCCTCTCTAGAGGGTTCCGTTAATTTGTCAGAATTTGGGTCTGGCCGATATGAGGGTTTAGATGGTGGTGAGTGTTTTGGTGAAGCACAAGTTTCAGATTCAGAAGTTGTCTTGGTCAGTGTGGATGGCCATATACTTACTGCCCCTGTCTCAGCATCAGAACAGGATGCTGAAAATGTGCAACTAAGCACACCTCAGTTCCATCTAGGACCAGTTGAAGGACCTGACTTTTGTGAGGGTAACGAGGAGTATAGTTCAGGTGGCAATGTGTGGGCTGCTGACTATATTAGTAAGCTCAGTTCAGCAGCAGCTAAGGATTCCTCTCATGATGTTTGCAATGTGAACAGTGATTCTACTGCTTTGGGACGCCATCCAGAAACTTCTGAAGGGGGGAAACATGCTTGTCAAACTGAAGAAACTCAAGACCTTTCTAACCATGAAAGTAAATGTAACAGGCAAAATGATGTTGAAGATGCATCTGTGCATAATAAGAATGGGGATATTTTTAAGAGCTGTCTTGAACTATCTGAATTGGGCAGACATGGCGAAAACACTAAATCTGAAGAAATAGATAGCCAGTTAGAATCTCAGGTTTCACAAGATAAACCTTCTTGCAGCCCTCCAGACAATGAAACTGAAGATGAGGCTGTTGGTGACTCCAGAAATAAAGATTTGTTCTCTTCCTCTTGTAGTCCCAATTCTTCCAACAATAATTTATCTCATGATTTACCAGTTCAGGGTGAACCAGTTGAAAAGAAAGCATTGGAATCAGATTATATGTGTTCTAACAATGTGTCTGTTGATTCTGTTGGTAACGACCCTGACAGGAAGGATGAACAGTTTGAAACATCAGCAGCAACTGAAGAGATAACTTGCAGTCCACAAAGTCCTGCACCTGAGGATAAGAGTAGCAAAAGTGAGATTGTGGAAACTGAAACAACTTCTGATAAAGAGACAGAAACTAATGCTAACCAGGGTAAGTAACTAAAGACCTTTGTCTGCTTTGATTTTTTGCTCTCTTATTCTTGCTCTGATTCTCATGGAATACTTAGTTTCTCTTGCATACCTTGTAGTTCCAGGGTTTGAGATCTCACTCTGTGGAAATGAACTTCATGCGGGTATGGGATTAGATGCTGCAGCAGTAGTCTTTGAAGCACACCGTATTTCAGAGGAGGAATATAAAAATAATGCAATGTCAATTATTAAGAATGCAAACCTTATTGTCCGGTTTGGAGAGAGGTACTTGCCATGGGAAAAAGCTGCTCCTATTATTCTTGGAATGGCTGCATTTGGTTTAGAATTAGCTGTTGAATCCCAAGATGCAATCCCTGTTGAACAGTATGAGTCATCAAACCCAAAGGATGATGACTCTGTTGTCACTTCCACAGCCTCTGGCCGCAGATGGAGCCTCTGGCCTATTCCCTTTAGAAGGGTCAAAACACTTGAGCACAGCAGCAGCAATTCATCTAGTGATGAGATATTTGTTGATACTGAATCTGGTATGCCAAATTCACAAACAGATTCAACTCCAGCATCCGGTGGAAAGATTGAATCTCCCCGCAAGCAATTTATTAGGACAAATGTTCCCACTAATGAGCAGATAGCTTCCTTGAATCTGAAAGATGGTCAAAATATGATTACTTTCAGTTTCTCCACCAGGGTCCTGGGAACACAACAGGTTTTAATTCTCTACTACTCAATTCTTCTGGTAGGTTTGCCAGGTTTGTATTATACTCATTTTATTTTTGGTCTCTAAAACCTATTCATCTTTAACAGGTTGATGCTCATCTTTACTTGTGGAAGTGGAATGCAAAGATTGTAATCTCAGATGTTGATGGAACTATTACCAAGTAGGAATTTTTATCTCCTGATGTTATCTCTCTGGATCAAAACTACGACCTAATATAATTCCTTTTTTTTTGCCTTTCATACAGCCAACCCCATAATCATGGATATAAGGCTTAGTTTGTTGTTGTTGTTGTTGTTGTTGTTGTATGTTATCACTCTGGATTATTTAAAAATGTTCTTGTTTCACTCATTTATGGACCTGTCTAAATTCACCTGTGATTCGTATTATGATGTATATTCTGGAAATGGTATTTAATTTCCTCACTAGGCATCATTATGGTATGAGTAAAATGCTGAACTAAAAAATTAAACTGGAATCTAAAAGAAAAGGAGAAAAATAAACCATATACTTATTTTTTAATCTGAAATTAGATCTTCCTTATGATCTTTAGTAGTAAAGCAGCAATGAGCATTTCTAGAAGCTGTCATACCTTAATTGATTTGTGGTGAAATCTTTCTTTTTAATATGTTTCAATCATGCATAGGTTTAATACAAGATGCGCCTTTCAATAACCTTGACACATTTCTTTCAGGTCTGACGTTTTAGGCCAGTTTATGCCTTTAGTTGGAAGGGATTGGACACAATCTGGCGTAGCTAAACTTTTCTCTGCTATTAAGGTATGTTTTTTCCCATTTGTTTCGTTGTTCAATGTGACTTAATTGAGCCTTAGCTCTGTTCTGGACTGTCACACAAAACTAAGCCTAGGAAATGACTCCAATATTCTCCTTCGCTTTTTTATGTCCACCACAACTGAATAAAAACTTGTCTCACGTTTTCCTTTACTTTGCTTTTATTATGTCTTCTTCTTTATAAAAGTTCCCACTGATGTAAATGATGATATATTCCTTTGTCAGGTTTTAGAATGCAAGATTATAGAATAACATTTGACAACCTTAGTAACATGATGATGTGAACATTATCCCGTCACTGTTAATCTCCTTAAACCATCTTTTTGCTCTTCTTAGATACCGTGTAGTGATAAAATCTTTTTCGGAAGTTGTATCTGTGTCCATCCACCTCTCTCACTACCATGTGTGTACATACAAAGCACAACATTGTTTCTGGGTAACACTGGGTTCAATTATCCAGTCACTTCGGAGTTTGATTTAAACGATTAAATGGTTCTTTAACTTCTTCCATTAACTAACCTATGCTGACATGCATGTTAGCAAAATGATTTCCTTGGGTATCTGATGTCGAATACTGAATTGTATATTCACAACAGGAGAATGGATATCAACTGTTATTTCTCAGTGCACGTGCAATTGTTCAGGCATATCTAACCAGAAATTTTTTACTCAACCTGAAACAGGTAACGAACTAGCCCAAGTTTTGATGTGGTTAACTTCTTATTTCAATGTTAGAAAATTCTAAGATACAATTTTTTCTTTAATTTTTATTTCTTCAAAAGTATTATTTGCCTTTTCATTCAAATACAATTTTTACATTTTCCTTATAGAAGCAAAAAGGCAATAGCAAAAGTAACAACTAAAGGGATAAGCCAACATTTTGAAACCATCTTTATTGTTAAAATGGTTTGACTTTGAAATTACGCATTTGTAATCATTGTTTAAATGATTTCTTTGTTTATGCAGGATGGAAAAGCTTTACCCAATGGACCTGTTGTTATTTCTCCTGACGGTTTGTTTCCCTCATTGTACCGTGAAGGTGAGGTCTTGTTTTGCATTGACCTGTTGTAATCTAGCTTCTTTCTTTTTTTTTGGTACAATCTAGCTTGTTGTTTTTAGTTTGCATCACAATTTTGTGGCTTCACCTACTTGAGAGAAAAAAGTTCTGATTACAGCCCATCACTGAACCTATATATGATAAAAGCAGCTATCTTTGTTGTTTTGACCTTTTGTTTATATCAGAATCTTTAGGCTGTATTGTCTAGTTACATACTTACATGCATTATCTTTCCTCCCCACTTCACCCCTTTTTCTTCCTTTGTAATAATTTGCAAGTTGCATTCTGATTTATTCTACCATTTGCACCTTATTCATGGCAGTGATAAGAAGAGCACCTCATGAATTCAAAATAGCATGTTTAGAGGTAAATTCTGAAATACTCAACCTTGTTTCTCAATGTAGATTGAAAACGATCGGTCTTTTCACCTTTCATTTCTTTGTTATATGTGCATTGCAGGATATCAAGAGGCTTTTCCCTTCCGATCACAATCCGTTTTATGCAGGCTTTGGAAACAGAGACACAGATGAGCTCAGTTATAGAAAAATTGGGATTCCAAAGGGCAAGATATTTATTATTAACCCAAAGGTACATGTTTTCTATGTTCTACTTATGAGAAAAAAGTGGAGAAAAAATGAACCAAATCCTGTCTTTGGGTTACCATATCAACTTTCTAAAAATCTGACTCTGAACTGGCAGGGTGAGGTGGCTATTAGTCATTTTATTGATGTGAGGTCATACACGTCGCTGCATACTCTTGTTAATGACATGTTTCCACCAACCTCATTGGTTGAGCAGGTAAGGAATGAGTATATTTCTCCGTCTTGTTAAATATAATGCTGGAGAACAAATGAAACATTCTCTGCAACTGTCATTGATTTGTTTTGGAGCCTTCAATGGTGTCCCTAATTTTCCAATGCCTTTGCAGGAAGATTTTAACTCATGGAATTTTTGGAAAATGCCGTTGCCGGATATCGAGTGAGACAGTTGGTGGCTTAAAGGATACAGTTTCCTTCTACCGACGAGATGATCAGTATCATAAAAGTGCCCCATATAGAACAGATTATTATGACATTCTTCAACTTTTAACCTTGCTTCCAGCCTTCCACTTGCAATTGTATTCATTGGTGACCTTCAAATGGTCATGTCGGGATTCGTCTTGTAATGAATGGATAGTTACAAGTGAATAAAATCAAAGTAATTGCTTCCCATTCTGTATGTACCTGTAGATATAAAAACATAGTTTGTTGATTTATATGATTTTATAAAGTGCAATTGAACACATTCTATATAATAGCTTGTTCATTTTTTTGGGTAAAAATATAACATTTTTTACTTTCTGAAATTTAGAAAAAATAAAAAAAATGTCGGTCATTAAACAGAATGAAAGAGAGCTCTTGAAGGCATGAAATTGCAATGGTAAGTGCCTCATCAATCATGATTAATGCCAAATGTTCTTCTGTTTTCCATTTTCTACAGCATCTATGGTTCCTATCTATCAGAAAATCTGTTTCTGTTTGATCACAAGTAACTTATGTTTTCATGTCGGGGAGGAGGATGTCAAGAATGGAATGATAACAGGACTCTGACTTGATATTGAAGGGGATTGTTTCCTGAAAATTTTACCAGCAAAACATGCAAAACAAGAGGTATAATGGCACTTCTGTCAAAAGGGATGATTGCAGTAATAGTAACCGAACAAAAGTTAGCAATTCAAAACTTAACTTAGTTTGTTCTTGCAATTATACTTAAGATATGACATTACCTGCAACCTTTTCCTTTACACTAGACTGCGGCCTCCCTTGTATATATATTTATACATAAAAAAAAAAAAAAAAAGAAAAAAGTTAGCATTATGTTCATTGAATTATGTTATATTGGATGATTTCGTCAGCTCTGAAAACTCAATAAAAGATAGCAATAATGAAACTGCTGTAGCACTGCTAATCTTTCCTGGATTCCTGAACGTAATGCGTTCAAATCAATGGTACTAAAGTTTCCATGATCCAGAACAAAACAACTTTATAAAGTTTAGTACCATAAATCCACTTGTAAAAGGGAGTTTCTGAAAGTGACTACCATGACCCATTGGACCTTGGCCTTGAGCTTTTAGATCTCGGCACTGTGTTGTAATTGCAACTTTGAGTCTTTTTGACAGTGGTTCAGAAGCCTCAGAAGACAAATGATGCAGGCAAAGTGAGATCCCTTCCCTGTGAACTCAGTGGCCTGAACAAAGCTTTTGGTGCTCAGATCAGATCACGTGATCACCTCATTTGTTGCAGCACAATGGACTTATCTTATTTCAGAGCTGTGATTGGCTTTGTATTTGATATTTCGATTCCTTCTTGTTATTCTTCAGAATCTTCATCATTTTAACCCTCAAAATAAAAAAACTACAACGTTCTTACCCCTAGGTAAAAATAAACAGTTAGCACAAGAGGAGACAAGCAAAAACGCCCTCGAGCATTGGATAAACCTCGTCCCATGTTTTTTTTCTTTTTCCTTTGGGTGAATGGAGCTTATGCTTGCTGTTTCTGAGGTCAAAAGCTGCAGTGAAAAATTCTAAAATTGGTAGAATAAATCAAGAGAAGAAAAGGGTTAAAATTCTCCCATGTTTTGACCAAGTCAAATGCTTGGCATTTATATATAGTCCCCATAGCAGTTCTTGGAGAGAATAATTTAGCTTAAAGGTTTGGAAACTTGTAAATGTAATAACATCTCTCTGTATTAGTCTCTAATTTATTATTGAATTGTAAACTTGACAATGCAAGTAACCAGGTTTTGGAAAAAGGGCTGGCCTTTTGAAATTTAAATTTTGCTGCAGAGAACTTTGTAGATATGCAGAAAACAAGTAGTCTGTTGTATGTATATATATATATATAATAATGCTATTTCTATTTTAAAAACTTGATGAATTCAGGATCCAACCAAAATCAATAAACTAGACAGAAAAACATACTTTACTTTTTTTTTATCATAAAAGTTTAGGGTCAGGAAGGTTTGTCCATTTCAAGATTACAAAAAATGACAAGTTTTAAAAAAGATTTATATTAGATTTACAAATCGTTTAGCTGCAGCAGATGCCTAAAATCCTTGAGAATTCTCAAGTGGATACACTATCATGGATATCATAATTTCAAATAAGATTCCATTGAGCCCCTTTTGATCTATTCTTCTTCTATTTTCATTTTCTTTGACACTATTGGAAGAGATTTATATGTGCTGCTTACATTGAAACTTACAACAAAAACAAAGGGCACTGTCACCTTCTTTCTGGTGGTGGAAGGTTCTTACCTTCTGCACCACATTTCAAGTTCAAAGAATTAAACATGGCAATACTCAAAGTGCCTCAACAAAAACATGGGATGCACCCAACAGTCCTTGCAACTCACCTTAAGCTTACTAGCTGTAGGTGTCAGTAGTTCATTGGCTATGGATGCTAGTCAAATTCAGAAGAGAAAAGGGAATGATAATAAATATAATGAGAAGATTCTTTGCATTCTTTTCTTTAATACTGAAACATTGGAATAAGAATACAAACAGTTGTAATTCACCCTTAAGAATGCAGAATTTAGGAAAGTAATAAGGCATGAGGTAAATGATGAAATAGCAAAAAAAATTCAACCCAAGGCTACTGTATATGATCCACTTAAATTTTGATGCAAATTGAAGGGATAAAAATGCAAAATATATACTACATTACATACACGGGTCCGTCAGAGGCTGTTCAGCTGAGAGGAAAAAAGAAATCCACATTGTTTTTAGCCATTTTTTTTTGTTTTGGAACCATTCAAGATATTGCTACAAAGGAGAAAAAGAGAGTGGGGAAAAAATGGAAAAGACCTGACAACTCCTTACCTTATGATTTTATTTTTCCAACTTGGTTCCATCCTCACTTTAAAGGATGCCCTCCCTGTCCCTCTCTTTCCTGACCAAGCTCACCTTCCCATAAGTTGAGCCATCTCCAAGAAAGAGAGAGTGAGAAAGGTTGTTGACAGTTCAAAAGATGGACACCAGCCAAGCTTCATGTAACGATGCAGATGAAGACTATATTGATATGGAGATAAGCTCATCCTCCAACTTCTCGTGTTATTCTATAAGATCTCCACCACACAGCAGAGAGTTTGAGTTCCAAATGTGTTCAGTTTCTGGAGATGGAGTTTTTACCTCAACTTTCCCTGCTGATGAGCTTTTCTACAAGGGTAGGCTCCTTCCCCTCCACCTCCCTCATCGCTTGCAAATGGTTCAGAAACTACTTCAAAGTTCCAACAGTAGTACATTTGAGTGCAAAACTGACGCACCCCTTGAAGAAAATTCTGCTGTTCCTTCAACTAATACAAGTATCCCATTGGAATCCTACAGCATCTCACCGTCAGAATCCTGCAGGGTGAGTAGTGAACTAAACCCTGATGACTATTTCTTTGAATGGTCAACTGAATTGAATGGCTTCATTGGCAATAATTGCAAGAAGTCTTGGCCTAGAAAGCTCAAGCAGAACAAGCAATCCTCAATAAGCCAAAAGCTCAAGGCGTCCCGGGCTTATCTTAAGTCTTTGTTTAGTAAGTCTGCCTGTTCTGATGAGTCTTGTGCCAAAGCAGCATGCAATGCAGACGCAGGAAATGTTTCAACGAGCAGAGATTGTGTTAACAAGTACATGAAAATGGCAAAGAAGAATCCATCTAGAAAGATTGAATTTGATAATGACGGATTCAAAATATCAAGTATTATTATGAAGAGCATTGACAGGGAGTTGGTTGAGGATGCTGCAAATAGTCATAGGAGGTCTTTTTCAGGGGTAATTCATAGGCATTCCGCAACAAAGTCTTCACCTACATCTACATCTTCTTCTGGTTCCTTTTCATCTTCTTCATCTTTTTCATTTAGTTCAAGCGGATTCTGTGATTTCCAGTTGCTGAAAAGGAGCAACAGAGCGAATTCAGAGATTGAAAATTCAATTGAGGGAGCAATTGCTCACTGTAAGCAGTCTCAGCAGCTGTCTAGTTCAAGCAAGACAGCAAGTGAACTTGGGGTTTGTTCACTTTCTGCTTCAAAGATTCCAGTTAGTGGGGACCAAGAAAGACCAGGACTTTGCAGCGTATGAATGTGAAATTACTTTTGGAAAGACTGAAAATCCACCAGCTTTCAAAACTGAAGTTGATTGAAATGGTACCCAGTTCCTGTTACATTCTTCCAAAGTGCGTGTCATTTTAATGCAGTGTGATTATTCAGATACTTTGCATGATTTTCCTGCACAACACCAACCCTTTAATACATTTCTGTGAAAGAACATATTCAAGTCCATTATTGTTCAAATAAGAAAGAGAAAAATGACTAGAGATTCTTCCATGGAACTTTATCATTCAAAATCAATAGTCTAGCCCCACTATATAGCCTTCCTTTTTGTACTTGCTCAAGATATTGCATGACAAGATATTTCTGTTGAATCCAATATCTGTTTGCTTGATTTTACAACGACTGGCCTGTTTCCATGGAGCATCTTTTCACATTTGACAATGATCCTTACCACTTAACTAAGTTTTACCCCATTGATGCTTGGTTTAAAAGTCAATTTCCGTTGATAACAATGAATAAAACATTGGGAAAAACAAGTATCAGTTCCCCCAAGTGAAAAAACCTTTTCAGTAAGATCAAATCTGTAGATTCCGTAAAAACAAGGTGTATTTTACAAAAGTTATTTTACATGAAGATTTTCCCCTATTATCTATTACTGTTTCAGCCTTTCAGGCTTTATGCAATATCCCAGTTTTTAACATTCAGGAAGTGGGGAGATCTGTATATTATGTCCAGAAAAGAGAAAATACTCTTCATTTGAATCATTTCAATGAATAACGGATGACCTTATCATCTCATCTCAATATTAAAATCATTAGGAACAGACTGACCATTGACCAAAAAAGTTAAGTTCTAAAAAAATCATATTACTTTCACATAATCTGAACAAGTCAATAACAATAAGTTGCCTTTTTATGCTGGTCAAATAAGACCCTGCAATCTTAGTTTAAACAGTGGGATTTAGATTATATTTTGATGCCTAAAAATCCTTGATTACAGGAGCAAACTGATGCTTTGTTCATGACTAGCATGATCAACACCCTGCAGAGCAACATGGTTTACTGCAAATTAAGACTAATCTATGCCAAAGGCTTTGTATTATTGAATTATATTACTGTTTAAGAAATGGTCAATTACAATGATTTTGATCACTAAGATTATCCTCTTTCTGCATCTGAAGAGCATCTACATGGCAAATGTGTACTGTCATTGTTATCCCAACACTGGAATTGAGATGAACTGAACTTTAGCTGTCTTAAACTAAACAAAATTTTCATTCATCTTGTTGTTATTTTCTCATGATTTTGACTAAACATTAAAATAAACAAAACGTGCCTGCTAGATTGTTGACAGGATTGGAAGGAAAAATAATGAAATTGCGTAATTGACAGATGTTGAGAACAATAAGTACAGACAAGTATAAAAAAGCAACTCCTTTTCCCCACCTGTAAGATCAGGTTTGTCCATTTGGTGAAAGAACGGAAGTGCAAGGTACTAAAACTTGTAAGCTTGTAAAAAGGATCTTAATTTCAATGGAAACTTGAACTATCTATGCAAAAAGACTAAAAGTTGGACTCTGAAAATATATGCTTATTAGCGGATGAACCAACTTGAATGGAAACTTGATTTCAAGGGAAACTTGAACTGTTAAGAGTGGCTGCATGAACCAACTGAGCTAAGCTCAAAGGAGCTAAGATTAAGAAACTTTTCCTTCCTTCGAAATATCGTGTTAGGGGATGGAACAGATCAGATAGACAGATACCTTACTACTGCATTCCATAGCCTACCCTAGAAGTAGGGTTCAGTAATGAACTCTTCTAAATTGTTGCAACTGCTTTTTGTTTATTGAGGTAAAGAAGTAAGATGCAATCAAAAGGTTGTATTGCCATTGGAATCCTCCTTTACTTCATTAAAGAAGGTTCATTCAAGTGAGAAATCCAATTATTAATGATCTACTGACCCAAGCAATCAAGAAAAGGAATTGCACGTCCTAATACACCTATAGGGAGGGAGATTTGAATTGCCAAAAACAAAAGGATGGAGATATTTGGCATTGTTGGGACCATGTCAGCAAGTGAAGCATGTGAAAAATGTCAGGATTGATTCAAGGAATCAATATTATTTCCTTAAGACAATTTTAAATTATAAAAATTCTGTAAGTAACTTGTCATCTTCTTAAACTTTGTCTGAAGCACAACGCACCTTTGATGTTTCCATGTATAAAATAATCAACTGTTCCCTCATATCATTTCAAATTAAACTTTAATAATCTCTTTCTCTTTCACTTCATCTACCGAAATGAAGCCTTGATTACCTGAAATATTATCATTATGACAATTAGCAGCAAGTCAAAGCCTCGTAGTTTAATATGAAGTAAACTCTAGTTATATGCCAGAAAGGTGAAAAGAAAAGCTAAAAAGGAAAATCTCTGCTTTAGGACTTCAAAACATTTCAAGTTGTAGTTTGGAAAAATTGGAAACCAAAAATGTAATTACATTAGTAGGTCCATTACTCCATTTTCTGGGTTGTCTGATTCATTTGGGCAACTTTTTCTCAATTGGTCGATCTCCTTTGGCGTCCTATCCTGATTATCAACAAGAAAAGAAGGAAAGAAAAGTCATAAGAAGAATTTCATGCATTTAGCCGACATTGAAGAGAAAACAACTCATTAAAATCTCACCAAAAATACAAGCATAACACAGCAAAATATGTTGGCAGGCAGCCTTCCGAAAAAAAAAAACAGAAATGGGAATTTCCATCGGCAAGAAACTCATCGACTTTGTAACAATGCTGATAACTTTGCCTCTGGAAAATGTCAGATAACAAGAATTGAAAAGGGGGAGACGTGAAAAGATGTTCTAGAAGGCAAATGTCCTACTAGCGGGTAGAGTTTATCAGCATTATGGTCATGTCCTGCTGCCCTCACTTGAATGAATGCCATAGTACTAGTATTCAACATTACCAGGGAGCATGAATGTTTACAGCTTTCATCTTTAAATAGATACCTAAGGCTGATGAGTTTAAGTTGAAGTGACCTTGAAATGAAAAGTTTTATGAAGAAGATTGAAGGAAGAAATACCATCTGAGGAAAGCAATTTGTCTTTTCAATATGGTACATCATAAATTCTTTAATTAGCAGTTTTCGGCTTGCATTTCTCGGTAATCCCATTTTTTGCTTCTGAATCCTTGTCTAATTCCGAGCTAATGACAGAAAGTAAAAGCCATTAGTGAAAATTTGAGACACGGAAGCAGTCAGACGTGCCTTTTTCACAATCAACAAAAAAGGGAAAAATGGAAAAAACAAGAGGAATGAATTTCATCTTCTGAAATAACCAAAACAAAGAACATGTCACACCCAAGTCATACAAACTATTGGTTGGTCATCCTCATGCAGGATATGGTGAAATTGAAGCATTAGCCAAGGAAGACTGAATCATATGAAGGTCACAGTGTAGAATTGCAACAAAGGCAGACTTGAAAGCCATAGGATGTTGGAGAATTACTGCAATACTCACCACTACTCTTCCTTTGTTGTCTTGCAAGAAGAGGAAAAGGAACACTATGACATTGGGAATCTTGTGCATGTGACATGGGAAAAGCACAGTATAAAAGATTTGAGACCCACGAATTCCGTGATATACCTCACTAAGGAAACAAAAATAGACATATTATTGTATACTCATTTGAACAATGTTAAATTATTGCAGTTAAGTGTGAAACAGTAGTGATATGTTTTGGATTATTTTTGGAAAAAGTAATCAGTGAGTTCCGAGGGTAATAATGTTTGATAGATAATCTAGGCAATGAAGCCAAATCATTAACTAACTTGTTTTCCTTGATCCATTGAACTTCAAAAAGGAAATTTCTACATATTCTCTGCTGTTTTACAATCTGTATAAGCTCAATCTTGCAATTTTGCTTCAATGAGAAGCACTAGGTTGACATCCTGCTATAGTTGGGGAGAAGGATACAAGGCGCATCAAAGCTCAAACCACACAGTTTCTAATTATGTTATTGCTCATTGTTCAGAATCTGTGTGTCAGACTTATATGACAGTGAAGACCGCCGGCTGCTTCGCATTTTTGAAACCTCAATGCGGTTCACAATCATCCAATAGTGACACAACGTCCCCAATGTCGATACCATCATAACAGTCCCTGTACCAGTAATAAGAGTAGCTATCCACCACTCATGATCTTTTCCAAATACAATATATGAAAGGGCAAGAAATGCAACTGAAATCAGCCCACAAGCCAACCATATGAGGTTATTAATAACTGCCATCACCTGCTTCTTTGCCGATGATACGAAGTTTGCACCTTTCTCTGTATAACTACAATGGAAGTTTGCACTACCAAACTACAGCCAATGAAGATTCAAGGCTATGGAGTCAAAGACAATAAAAATCATATAAATGGTAGCTTTGAAGCGATTCTCGCTTGTCCAGGAGAGACTCCTGGTGAAATATATTGGCCTGGGATGTTGAAGATGGCAGCAAATGGCCATTGACGGATAGTTAATAGAAATTATTGGTTAATTGATTGGTTATACTGGCAACCGTACAGGTTCAGCTCATTTTTCTATAGAAATTTATCCATGCAGTTTTATTGTATTAGCCAGCAGTTTTTATTTGACTGCTATTAGAAATGTCGTGTTTTCGGCTTTGATGCAAGAGTTTGTCTGATCTTTTTGTGAAAATCCATGTCAAACTTACATATATTATTCATTTTAATTCAAAAATTTTATAATTTTATTCTAAAAATAATCTCACTAAGTTAAGTTTAACTCTACTGAGATTGGGTGTCACGCTTCTTGCACTCCTTAATTTCATACGAAATTATATACTCAAGTTGTATACATAAAATCATTTCTCTTGCAACAAATCAGCAATGAGCAGAAAGAGAAGTAATGAATCTCAAATCTGTGCTATAGACAGAATAAACAGATGTGGAAGGACACATAATAAGCCGTTAAAACCTAAAATGGTCGTTATGTAACTACATCAAAACGATCGCCGATTTTTAACGATAAGAAAAAATGGCCATAAAATAAAATAAAAAATACAAAAACCCTCTACGCTCGTAACGGTGAATGCATGTTATGCCGCCGATGAGACGACGCGGAAGCAGACATAGATGAACTTCCGGGAACTAACCTTCCCCATGAACAATTCCGACAAGTAATTCCCTAAATCTTCAGGGCAAAATCTGACAAATAATCTAACGCTCCTTTCATCTCCAACCGTTGATTTATGCGTATCGTAAAACTCCTGATATACCGCGACAACCTTTCTCCCGATGGAAACCTTTATCTCGTCTCGGAGTTTCAAGTCGGGTACGACGCAAGAACTCTGCTTCCGATACGCATCTTCAAAGCTTGAATTAAATTTCCTGAAACACTCTTTAGCTGCTCCCGGTGTCATCGAAACCGTTGGATTCTCCGGCAATGAAGCGAATACGTGGCCCCACGCTAACCGCACGTAATTCGCTGCGAACAGACTCACCTTAGCTTCGTGTTCTGCGACCCATTTATCACCGAGTAAGTACTGGAGATTCGATATACGGACTCTGGAGATTACATGTCGTAGATTGTTGGCTAAAAATAAGTACGACAATGAGACGTCTTTGTAATGCTTTGCTTTGCTGTCGAGTTTGCAGAGTAGGACGAGGATTAGCCATGCAATGCGGACGGCGATGGCCGGCGCAGGCGATTCGTCGGAACCCGTACTGTTGAAGAAAGATTCCGGTATAGACGATTTCACGGACGGTGGCCAGTCCGCGATGATGTCGATGAGGATGTTGCTGTAATCAGCGAGGAAAGTGAGGTAATTCATTAAGTAGATCGTTAGAGGATGCAGACCGCCACCTGGGATCATCGCTTTGGACGAGTCCTTTTGAATTGTGGACTCGAAATCTGTCAACAACGACCGCACTGACTCGCTGAGTCGAACCAGCGAGTAAAGAGCTTGTAATCGGACGGCTGAAGTCGATTCAAAAGAAAAGATCGTTTCAATCTCTTGCCAGTACTCTGAAATAGCCGTGTACATATCGAGAACACGGAACATTTTCTCCGGCGGCGATTTTTTGGACCTGGCGACTAGTTCGGGGAATCCAAAGAGAAGAGTGGCCGCTTCTTTTGAAATCTCGGCAAAGCAAGATTCTCTGATGGAATCCGACATAGAAAATACGTGATCGCATAGGATTCTTTCTCCATTGAAAAGCGTCCTCACTGAAATCTTGACGGCTTCTAACCAGTCCTTGATTTTCAAATCCAGTACATCCCATTCCATTTTATTAATCCGAGACCAGCTTATTTTTTCGATTCCGAGTTTATAAATACCTTCATTAATAATATATTTTCGGATAATTTTATAAATATGTACGCATTCTTTAGCATAACCGGAAGCGATCATACAATCCGCTATCGATTTCAGATCGGACATAGCCATAGAAGAAACTTCTTCTACTTCAGAGATGGAATTCCCTACGGCACGAATCTCATGGTAAGATGAACCGTCATCATCGTAATCCGACGAGCTTGATCGGCCGGAGGTCCGTGATGATCGAGTGGAAACCGATTCCGGATCCAAATGAGCCCGATTCATTGATAAAATCTGGTGAAACTCTTTTTGAAGCCTCTTCATCGCGATTTGCATCAAATGTTGAGCTTGAACAAGCTTTTCCGAACCGGAACCTTGATCAGAAACTAGCAAATTCATGAGTTTTTGTAGGTCGTTAACGGATCTTATGAACTGCATGGCTTCTCTTTTGCTTTCATAGAAAAGAGAGGTCACTCTAGCGTAAGCTGATGTTTCAGCATCCCATTTCATGATGATGGTTGCCGCAGCGTCGATGGTTTGCTCGACCATGGATTGGGAGAATCCACGGCGAGGAGTACTGGAAAGCGAGGCTCTTGAAGGTGACATGGATTGACGAAACGACGTCGTTCTCGTGCTGAAGCAAAGACTCCTCATTCCTTTCCTCTTTTGAGATCGTAAGGAGGTAATTGCTTTGTAGCTATTTTTGTTTGGTTTTTGTTGGCGGCAGATGATAATAAGAAATGTTGGGTGGAATTTTAAACGGAGTTGGGGCGTTGGGCGAGGAGTTTTATATAGACGGTGGACGAGCGACGCGGTTACTTGTGAGGGAAGAACGCGTTGCCTTTACGTGGTACATGTCTCCCAATCCCCTGACATCGCCAGAATAACATCTAATTGCACATTAAAAAAAAATAGAAAAAATATAAAGTGCGCTAAAAGTAAAACATTACTTCAGATTTTTTTTGGTTAATAATTGTTTTAAATAATGTATACTTTCAATATAATAAGATTTGCTCTGACTAAAATTTAAAAATTCTTTTTCATCTTAAATTTTTATATTTAAAAAATGCTAAATAGAGTTTATAGGTAAAGTTTAAATGATATTTTAAAAAAATATAAAAATGTATTATCTATTTTGAATTTCATGAAATAATTATATTTTATGAAAAATATTTTCTTAAATAAAATTTAACTAATTTTCAAATTATGTTTAGATTTATTTTTGTTTTCAGATGATTTTGTATAAAAAAATAGAATTATGAGTAAAACAATTAAATAATAATATACTAAGTAATTATTATAATTTTCATTAAAATTAACTTTTAAAAGTAATAATAAAATTAATTATCAACTTGAGTTTGATATCGGTGGAAATTTTTGACGCTATTAACAACTTAATTATAATCCATAAAATAATTGCTTTGTAATTAGGAGTGAGAAAAATATTGAAAAGTCAAAAAATATATTCAAAATTGTAGTGTTCAATTATGTTCGGATAGGATCGATTTTTTTTTTATTTAATTCATATTAAGTTTGGATATTAAATATATATTTTAAGTTTATATTAGATTTCAGATAAAAATATGAAAATTTGAAAAAAATTAAACTAAATTGAATTATATATATTTTTTATTTTTTATATATATTTTAAATTTTTATAAAATAAAAATAATAATTTTATATCAAATTCTACTTAAATATATTAAAATTTTATATTAAAATAATATTTAAAAATTAAACACCGATAAATCAAACCAAATTAATAAAATTTAGTTTAATTCGAATCAAAATTTAAATTTTTGTAATATTATGTAATATTAAAAAAATTAAATCAAATCAAATTCAAATCGAACCATTATTATCCATATTTGTAATGTTTTCAAATTATTTTAAATTAAAACAAATAACTGTTTTGAGTAGATCCAAATCACGATTTTAATCACAACTTAATCATATAATAATGTCAAATGTAGCTTTAAATAAGTTGGATGAAGGCAAATGAAATTTGCACAAGTTTTTCAACTTTCAGATTTCTTTACTTCAAAGCTAAGATTTTTTTTTAATGTATTTATTACACTTAAATCAATTGGTCAATAATTAATTTAATCAAGTATGAATTCGATTTAATTTCTGTACGATTAAATCCGATTTAAAATCTATTTGTATTGTCTGTTATTCTAAAATGTTTCTTTTCTCTTTGTTCTTTAATGGATTATGATAACGTGACATTAGTAAAAATTGGAATGATTTTGATAGATTTGGAATATAATTGGTATAAAGATTAAAAAAATTTTAAATAAAATTTTAATAATCATTTAAATTCTTTACATTTTAAGATCTAAATTTTTTATTTTGAATCAATTAAATTTTTAAACACTTATTTTCATTTAATTAAATCCTTATATATTTATTTTTATTAAATTAAATTATTGATTAGATGGAAATAATTAATTATTTTTCCTATAGCAATGATTCAATTGATAAAAATAAATGTATGAGAATTTAATTGATTATAAATTTAAATGATTATTAAATTTTAATTCAAACAATTTTTGAACCCTTTTATCAATATAATATTATTGTAGTCATGTGAGAGAGGATTTGAAAGTTTAAACACCTAAGATTCCGTTTGTAAATTTTTTTAATTTATAAATCAGTTCATATATAATTTCATTAAATTAAAATTTATTTGTATAATTTAATATATTTTTACAAACCATACATCTTTTTAAATGAATGATATGACTAACAAAACCAAAAAGTTAAATAAATATAATAAAAAAAATCTTTAGTCAAAATCAAAGCAAATTAATAAACGAAGGAAAGAAAAAAAATGAGAAATTAAGAATATATGAATTGATAACTCTGTTAAAAACAAAATTAATAATCCAATTCTTTTTTTTTTTATCAAGTTTTGCCAGTCACATATCAACTATCATCGTCAAGCCCCCGGCACCACAAAGCAATCAGGAATCACAGCGCGATCATGACGAAAGAAAAAAACCGAGCAGTCATGGTCATGGAAATTGCACTGGATCCTCACCACATTGCTAAAAACTTTGAAATGGATGTTGTATTTCCAACTCATTAGAGTTGCGTAAGACGAAAAATCTCTTCCAATCCGTACAGGTAAACCAAATTTCGAACTTCCATTTTCAATTATATTATATATATATATATATGTATATTGAAATGAAAGCTCCATCATAGTCAGTAATATTAGATGATATATAGGGCCGTTCGGTTCATGCACGGGCAAACTCGAGAGAAACTGACGATTGTTTGGTCCTCCAAGGAAAATTTTTTTTATCTAAAATCATCGATACTAGATAATTATTTTAAATTTTGTTTAATTTTAAGTTGAGTCAGATAAATTTTTTTAAAATTATTTTTTTTTATTTATAATATTAAAAATCAAAATCTTACTTTAAAAAATCAAATTTTTTATTACTCAACTAATAGATGTTAGTAGTCCTCCAAGGAATTTTGTTTGCTGTTGTCTGCTGATCTATTTTATGATCAAACTATTAAACCTTTTTTAAATCCGATAAAGTTTAGAAATAAAAAAATAATTTTATTTTTAAAATTAGGATGAGACATTAATTCATAAGGAAATTTATAAATTTTTAAAGTTTTTTTTAATTTACACATCGTTAATTAATAAAAAATTATGAATACTAAAATTTGAAAACCTTATATATAAAGGTTAAATTTTAATTACTTGTATCAATCTCTGTTGATTTTAAATTAATAAATTTATCTATTATAAAATTTATTTAAATCTTTTTTTACTGAATCAATCAGCCGATAATTAATGTAATTATCGTAATTGCATAATTATATTGTAATTGTATCATAATTTTTAAAACTTATATGATTAAAATTACGTTAACACGGTCGCTGTTGTGCCCAAACACTGTCGATTAGTTAGATGATTGGTTTCACAATCCTTTTGCTGCTAGCCTCATCTTTATGTTTCAAAATTTCAACACAAAGGTATTGATTTTCATCAAATCTAGAAAGATTTTGGACGAATGAATAGAAAGGAGCTGAGATGGTTCGGTACAAGACGGTGATGGTTCGAAAACGAAATAGTTGAGAAAAACGGCGAACACTTTAATGAGACCTTACGTGGCATACACAGGCAAATGCAACTCTTCCAAGGCAACAGAGCCAGGAAAAACTTTAGAATTAAAGACTAATTGGACTCGAAGCCATTTTGTAGGCAAAGGGTTTGACAAACACTATCCTACCATTGCTAGGTGTCTTCAAATAGCCGGCACAGTTGTCTGTCAAGTCCAAATCAAAGTGACTTTGATAATGAGTTTCCAAACTATCAGCTGTCATGACAAGGAAATAAAGTATGCTGTAACAATGCACGTTTCATATATTTCGTACCAAAAGTTTCAAATTCTTTTGTCCTCAGAATGACTGAAGACTATAAACTAGATATTTGATGTGTTTATATGGTTGAATTACTTGCAAACAGGACAACGGTTGAAAAATGTGGCTTTAGAAAGTTCGAGTGTCCATATATATATATATATATATATTTTTTTTTTTATGTGTTGTCCATTTGAAGATTATGATTCATGATGGGTTGAATGATCAGTCAGCCCCGACGAGAAATGGCTGAGGCTCATATTTTCGGCCTGGCCCGACGGCAAATTAATACAAGCTTCCCATATCTCATACCACTGTCGTGTCGTCTTACAGCGTGCATTTTAACTTGGAAAGAAAGGCCAACATTTCCACTTCCACATCACTAATTGGTTAGTTGCTTTTGTTATTTGCAAAGCATTACCATTTACTAAGAGCAGAGGTTGCTTACATCATGAGATAACTTACATGATGTTTTTTAAGTAAAATTTGTAAAATATCTTCTTAAAAATGATTTAATATAAAAATTAATAATATATAAAAATATATTAAAAATATTATTTATAATTTAAATTTAATCGATATTTATTCAATAATAAAATTTTTATTAAAAATATATATTTAAAAAATATATATCAAAATTTATTAAATTTTTTTAAAAGATTTATACATTTAATTTATATAATAAAATCTTTTAATTCAACGATTTTAAATTTTGTTTAATTATTTTTATTTATAAATTTCACGAATTTGATATTATGTCATTTGGTCTTTTTTTTCTTAATTACTTTATAAGAATTCATAGAGGCCTTACAAATTCACTTTCCTCCGAACATTCAGGTTGTTAAAGAAATGATTGATCCAAGTGCAACGATAGAATATAAACCGAATACTGCAGATGACCCTCATATGAGGAAACTTGATATCACCAAAGCAAAGGAGCTTCTCAACAGGGAGCCGAAAATCTCTCTAAGAGAAGGGTTGCCTCTTATGGTGAGTGATTTCCGGAATCGCATTTTAAACGAAAATGAAGGAACAGGAGCTTAGTTGAAAAATAAATAGCAAAACAAGCATGTATAGTGTGAAGAGCATTTGTATTTTGTCAAATTCATTTTATTATTATCATCCTTGTTCTACATTACATAGAAATTTAGCAGTTCCAACCGTCTAATAGAAGATCTGGCATTCCTTCGTTTCATGATAATCAGTTCTATTTGTTCACATCTACATTGTGCATTTGTTTGCACAGAGTCAAGTTTTGTATTGAGTGCTTCTTAAAGCTCTCTTGCCCTAAATGGACTCACCACAGTGGATTCCACCATTTTTGGGAGGCTAGTGTGAGGTGAATGGGAGCAATTGCTTAGACCATGTTATGCTTATTTTGGTCTTTGCCCTTTGGATCTTTGTTCATCTTCTTGGTGCTGCTGATTGTTTTTAAGGCATTAACGCCTTTCAAAGGCTTCATTTGGGCTCTGATTTGGTTGATTAGCTCATTTGTAAGTTATTATTTCTTCTTAGTTCTAAGTTCTAGCAATGAAAACAGCTTTATTTTTTTCATATTTTCGTGATTTCTTTCTTGCTTTTACCTTCCAAAGGAAGGTAAAGAAATACGGGGATGGCTTAATAAATATTGGACCACATAGTCGTCCCAAATACAGCCTTACACCATTACATTACATGCTGAACTGGCAGTAACCCTTTTGTTTGGCCTTTTTGGGTCAATCTAATCCAAAGTTATTAATCAAAATAATATATTTTTATGTCGACAAAAATTATAACACGTAATTTTCATATAAAATATAATATAAATATATAAATTATCAGTGTTTTATACAAAAAGTTTAAATTTTATATAGGAAGCATTTCTTGGGTTTAATTAGTATAGATTGTATGCGATATCAAAGCAGCTCGGTCAAGAATAGTGCAAAGAGAAATTGAAGAAAGACCGGTAGGATTGTTTATGAATAGTTTCATCACTGCATTTAAGCCCATAAGTACCAGAATGAATCAGGAGAGCAGGAGCCACTCACCTCATCAAACGACTCTTTCAGCAAATTATTGTGACCATACCTAATCAACAGAGAAGGATACTGTAAAATCCAACATAAATGTTGCATTGGTATCACTATTCACCATACTGAATTTACAATGCAGACAGACTCAATTGCCAACAAATTGGAAAATATTGAAATTCATCACTCATCACTTTAACACATCATGCAACAAAATAAAAGCAGGTTTTCCAATTTTTAAATTACTATTCATGATTATGAACTGACATTTTTCATGGCAATCCCCATTCATGAAGAAACATTTATATGCATATTTGTATAGCAACTAGAATGGATAACTGGGGCTTGAAGTTCATCTTGATATTAATAAGCACAATATAGCAAGGTTTATACTAAACCGAAGAAAATTATTCAATGCCAATATGCAACAATAAATAAAACATAAGGCACAATATGACCATAATGCATGAAATAGCACTTATATCAAGCTTCCTACCATCATCCATGGAAAATTCAGCCAGAGCATGACTAAACTAACTTAATTATCTACTATGCCTCTTACCAATATGCAAACTACAACACTAAAAACCCACCCTTCAATTGTAAACTGCTATCCAAATTATTGGATAAAAACTGAAAGACAATTAAAAAATTTAAAATTAAAGGGACCTCTTTGCAGAAACCACCAATCTTCACCTCTGCTTTGATAATAAACATACCCCATGTCTCTCAAGTCTCAAGCTTTTTCGGCTAAAAGCTTCGTGGCCACCATATTATCAACAAATAAGGTTTAAAATCCCTTGGCTCTTCCTTCACCAATCCATCATAAACCTTCAAAGCTTCCCAATGGTTCTTCTTCATGGCCGTGAAACGCCTCGACCCGAACCAGGTCTTTAGCAAATATTTGTTCGAACTCGTTCTTGGCTAGCTCGAAATCGCCACTGTAGCCATGGATTTGCGCTTTTAACATGGGCCATTCGGTGTCTTCGGGTTCGAGCTCGGTCAAACGGTCGATAATTTCGATGGCTTGTTGGAGCTTTTTTTATTTGATCCGAACCTCCATGAGAGACTGTTGAGCTTCAACGTCATTTGAGTACTGAGTTAAGTGCTCTTCGATGGTTTTTTCTTGATCTTCTAAGGAGATATTCGCGTCCGTTGAGGTGGGCTCAACCGTGGGCGTTGCCGTTGGGGAGGCGATTGCGGGTTTCTGGTGACAGCGCGTGAGGAAGAGTGCGGCGGCGGTGGTTATGGTAATGCAAGTGGTTTTAAGGAAAGGGGTCAACGTTGGAAAAGGGAGGGTTTGGGCCTTCCATAGAGTGGAGCTGAGGAGGAGGAGGATGAGGAAGATGAAGCTCTGATGGAGGATAATTTTAACGGTGATGATGATGATAAAATCCTGAAAGAGAGAGAGAGAGAGAGGATATGGGTTTAGGAACGATGGACGGTGGTGATTGAAAGAGATGCGGAGAGGTTGGTGACGGCAGTGTTCTTTAAGCAAAAGACTGCATGTTTTAGAGAGTTACAGAGAGGGAGAAGGGAAAGTTCAAAACCCCTTTTAGCAACGAAAATTCGAAAATGTGCGGTTTTTGGTTCCAAACGCAACGCATCATATTGGACGTTTGGATTTGAAGTTTGAGGCCGACTAATGCTTTGTCCAAGTTAGTTTGAGGCCGAATAGGAGCCGAATTCTACGATTCCATTATCATTCATTAAAAAATATGAAATATGAAGTAGTTTATATTATTTATAAATAATAATATTATTATTTCGTACGTGCGTCAGTAAAATTTTTAAATTTTATAAATGAAATTAAAATATGATCATATGGTTTTTTATTATATTAAAACTAATTTTTAATATTAATATATGACCATTTTTAAATTCACTAATGAAATTTAAAAACTTCATCACCAGTGTATTAGATATATATATTTTTTATAATAATTGAGTTCTTAATTTGTTACATGAGATTGTGGATTTAGGCAATGATGTTATGTCAAATTTTTTTCCTTTTCTCTTATAAACAAGTAAGTGTTTAAAATAATTACTAACTTAACAAACCATATAACAAGTCACAAATTTGAAATATATAATCTGCCAATGGTTATCAACTTCATCACCGATCATTTTCAGTATAAAAGTCGTGATTCCTTCCCCACGTACTCAAGTAAACCACAAATTTCTGTTATATCAAGAGGCTGAGGTTCCAAATTCCAATCAGGGTCTCGCACCCGCCGTGCATGAGATTCATCTGAATTTCATGTTTGCCGTATAGTCAGCAATTAACATGTCACAGGCTTTTTAACATTTGGAGAAACGACAGAGCTAGCAGCATGTTTCTCTGAGCCTTCGAACAGGAATGATTAGGTTTGACGTGGTTGGATAATTCATGTAATACTATCTAATTCTGCAAGGAGTTTTGGACAGCATGGTTAGTTCATGAACTCTTAGCCATGGCTGTTCCTAGTTTTAGAAACTTTTCTTGCATCAGTTCAACGAAGCATCTTTGACCCACTGTGGAAATGACTTTCTTCTTGTAAAATGCAAAAAGATGTGACAACCAAAGGTAGCTTGGAGGTTGGCAGTTAGGTTCAGAACTCGTACAGATACAGTGTAAAGGTCAAGTTGAGTTTCTAAACCGCATACTTTACATCATACACAAGTGCATGTATATATGAACAAAAACAAATACGTCGATGGGCAATGGGTATTAAAATTATTGACCCCTAGCTTCAAATTCATTGATCAAAACGAGAAACCAAAAAGCTTGGGACTGTAACAGCTGACACACAGTCGTCACTCGTCCCTTTCAAGTTACATGGTCCCTAATCCCCCCCTTCACTTCATATAAACAGACAACAGAAAGTCTTTTAACGGGCAACGAGCTAGTGACCCTGGGACACCGGACTCAGGCACGCAAACAAAAGAAACAAAGAGGGTGGTGCCACGTTTACACAACGTGCCATCGAGTCATGCGGCCCCCGTCCACATATTGCTTCCACTCGCCGTCACGCTTCCCAACTACAGTTTCTCATTTTTATTTATTTTTCTTCACGGTAATCTTTTTTTTTTTTTTGTTTCCAGTTCCTGCCAAGTCGTTCTCATCATTTTCTCTTGTCTTTACTGTTTATTGCAGACTTTTTGTACCAAAGGGCAAAGGCGATGCCCAGGACTTTGAATTTTTATGGTGATATTCTACAACTACTACCACCACCACCACCACCACCACTACTACTACAGTACTACTACTACTACTTCAGCTAAACTACTTTTAACAATTCTAATTCATGGATTTGAGCTATATATATTGGTGAGAATCAGTCCTTGTTATTCTTCCCCATGGAAGCATTAATCCTGCTCTGAATCCTTTGCCTTTTCTCTATTTCAGTTGCTCTCTGGTCTCTGCCCCTTGTGTAAGCTTCAAAGAACTCCTTGTTCTCTTTCTCCAACTCATCCCAAACTGTAACCAAAACCATACAGAATCACAGATCATATTATATTTAGCTGAAAAACTCTCCGATCTCAAAATCAAAATCTTCAAGCCTGGTTGGTATGTTTCATCGTGGGTTATACTGATAGTGTTTTTTTTTTCCTATATGTGCAATTAAAGAAAGAAAAAAAGGTGACTGAACCTGTTGAAGTAATGACTGGTTTAATATTTGCATGCTTAGACAAAGCTTCCATGCACTCTTCTTTGCTCATGTTGAAGATCAAACACTCTTCTATAAGACGGTGAACCTGGATATTCATGATCATCACCATATTTGATCATCTTATAGCAACAAACACAAAAATCAATGGAAATAATCAATGGACATAGAAAATTAAATATATTTGAATTACCATGTGGATATATGAAGCTGAAGAGTCACCCATAAATCATAAAAAGAATCTCCTCTACTGTTTGGGCTGATACCTAAGAGCTAGAAAGGTAGAAATATATAGAAAAACAGAGATGAAGAAGAAACTAGAAAAGGCAGTGAAAAGCAGATGAAAAGGCAAAGAAAGGAGATGAGAGTGAGTCAGTAGAGATGGGAGAAGGGAGTAGAGATCAAGATCAGGAGGCCAAAAATGTTCAAATTTATAGAAAAAAACAGGAATAGACGTAGATGAAATTACTTAAGTAAAGTTCCTAAAATTTTTTCTTGATTAAATAAAATTAAAAATTAAAAATTAGAATACATAGATAAAAAAATTTTATTATATAAATCAAATTATAAAATTTTTTTAAAAAATTTTTATATATTTTTTGATTAATATTTTAAATAAAATATTAATAAAATTTTTATTTATGAATAAATATCTATTAAATTTAAATTAAAAATAATATTTTTAATAGTTTTTATATATTATTAATTTTTATATTAATTTTTTTCAATTTATTAATTTAAATTTTTTATTAAATCAATTTCTAAAAATTATTTCATCAACTTTAACTAACGAGTTTCATATAAAATTTCTCCATAAAAATGACTGCGGGTAAAGAAAAGATCTTATTCAATAATAATATGATGATAATTGAAAAAAAAGAAAGGGAAAATTGTTGTTTTGATCCTATGATGTCAAAGGTTGTTGGTGGGGTCCAAAGTCGCACGTGGGACGATTTCTATGATTGGTGGAGAGAAGATTAGAGGAGATTCTATAAACAGCCCTTTCTTTGTCTCTTACGTGGTCACTATTCCAATCTCCACGTGACATATGGGACCCGCTTACCTTTCCGTTTTTATTACTGTTGTTTAATCAATCCAAATCGAATCTCGGAATTTTAAATAAGATAATTGATCTTATTTAAAATAATCAATCAAATCAAATTAAATTAAATTAATTAAATTGCATAATTGAAACAACTTAACTCTATGCATTAGATCAATTTAATTAATGATACTTAATTAATTGAATTTAATTTAGTCAAAATTTTCGACATTTCACTGTGAGATGTTCTTTGCGTTTTTAACTTATTATTAAATAAATTTTATCTAATTAATATTTTTTTTATTTTTTGTTTGAGTTACAGGATTAATCATTAACAGTAATTGTTTAATTAGATTTGAGTTAATTTTAAATATTATATTTTTTTTACTTAATTTTAAATTTTGTTTGATTTTTAATAATTATTTATTCTAATTTTTTTCTTTTGCTATTTTACGAATGTTATTGTTGGCTACATTTGACAACTCATTGACAGTAGAAACAGCATACTATTTTGTTCGAAATGTTGTCGTTTCTGATTCAACACCACCAAATGTGTCTTCTCTTCTCATTGTAGGTAAGAACTCAACCTCAGTCATTTTAGATTTCATTTGATTGAATAGGTGATGAGATTGACGATGATAATATTAAAATAATAATAATAATTATTATTATAATTAAAAAAATTAATAAGAATTTATATTAAATAACTTTTATTAAATTTAATAGTTAAATTTAATTAATAATTCAATCATATCATACTAAAAATATGATAAAATCCAAATGTATAATTAATCAGGAAGTCTAAAGTGTTAGAAGTTGTCGAGTATTACGAGAATCTGTTTCTTCCTTGACTATTAAAGGACGAATGCTTTTTGTGACAAATGTTCTTCCTCTATGAGATACAACTACCACAATGTTATCACTATATGTCGAGCTTGAATTTTGCGGATTTGACGACTTTGCAGAGTCCTCTGAAAAGGCGTCGGGAAAGCTATGGGCTAGAGGTGGACCTTTCAACTCAGCATATATTACCAACGAGGATAGTTGTTTTTTAGCACCATGGGCATTATGAAAGTGGTTTACACTCTACCTGTTGATATTCGAACAAGATTGGTGGAGTCGAATTCGAACAAGAGCAATATCAGAGGATTTCTTTAATTATTTTGTTTTTGATGAAGCTTCTGCATTATGTTTGCAAAGATTGTTTATTCTAATAATCTTATAAGCAAAGTTGCTGAAAATGCAGTTGAAACTTTCAAGGATTCAGAAATTGTTGGACTACCACAACTTTAAGGTACTAGCGGATTAGAAAACACTAGAATAACAGCTGGGGGCTTTAGCATGGGGCAAGTTGTTCAGAGGCTAAGTGGCCTTGGTGTGTCTTTGGTCATGCCATGACTGATTTTGAGTTGAGTAACGGTCGAGATTAAGTTGATGAGAAAGTAGTTTTAAGAGATGCATGCATGCATTTGAAGCATTGAAATAGGTTATTAATATGTTGTACGGGCAGTGAGAACCTTAAACCTCAAGATACGTAGGTAAGTGTGAGCCAATGTGTCAGTATTCTGAGACCAACTAATCAATCAGGTGCTGTCGGTTGAAGCCATGTGCGGGCACTTTTGAGTGAGTTGGTGGAGCAACGAGTAGAATCAATGAATAATAGTGATCAAGAAGAAGGTTTTGGGGTCCTGAGTTAGCCGGAGAAAGTTCCTGAGATGGCTGAAGAGAAAAGTGTCTCAATTTCAGATAATCTTACGGTTACTGGTAGGAGACTAGAAAAATCTCTTACGTTCTTTATAAGAGGATAACTGATGTTAGCTCTCCACTGCCCTCTTGGCTAGCGGGCAGACAGAGGTCTGATTAATCTGAAATGAGCTACTCTTAAGTACCAGTGGTGTTTAGGTGGGCAGATATAGTAGGTTCACGAGTGTGACATGATGTTTCCTCAAGTCATGGTAAACTCAGAAATGGTTGGGGCCTACGAGCCTTGTATCGGGCCTTTGCGTTGAGCCGTGGGGTTACGCGGTAGGGTTTGCTATGCCCCTCGATTTTCTCTCCTTAAGCTAGAAAGATCATGAGATAATGTTTGTGTAGGAGGGACGCCATTGAGCTTGAGGGATGTGAGAGATAGCAGGCAGGCATGCTGCTAGACCCTTGTGGCCAATCAGTAGAGGTGTGTTGTAGTTGGGACAGTCCACCCAAATCCCTTTACGGGACTAGCATGATGTTTGGTGTCAATCATGTGTGCGAACAGTCTACATAGAAGCTAAGGGCTTAAGCCCTAAGAACTAAGTCCTATAGGATGAGATGAGCCTAAATGCTCCGAGTTGGCTGCTGACCAACATAATTGTTGTGCTTGCGTAAATTTAATACGAGAGTTTGCATACAATACGACGAGCATGGTGTTGGGTTCTCACCATATCAAGAAGTAATAATATCATGAGAATCGGAGCTATGCATCCTTACTAGTATTCGAGGATCGATGCTCGAGACCTTAAACCTTGCGAGTAGAGATTGATGCTCAGAACCATTTTGAGAATCATGAGCTAAAGAGTAATGGGAGTTGGATTCCTTCTTATAAAGTTTGAAATGAACAACCTTACAGGATCAAAATAAAAAAAAAAAAACTTATGAATAAATGGCTTGAAAGATCGAAATTAAACAGTTTAAAAAAAATTAGATTAAAAAAAAATTGATCTAGATTACAAGTAATTTAGATATCGTACGAACATGTGGTTTCAGAATGAGAAACGTGCGGACCTTGACACTAAGCCTATGTTCTCATGTGCTAATGTCGGCTTTGTGTGTGCTCATCAAGATTGCTACAATTATTGTTTTTTCAAATGACTCGGACACAATTACTGTTTTTACAAGCCTCTTTATGTCCAAGTCATTGATGACTCAAAAGATGCACACATTTGTTTTTGCTTCAACAATGTCGAAACCAATTTTTAAGGAGTTCAACTACTCATCTGGTCCCACCATTGTGAGTTCAATCAACTGAATCGAATGCATTTTTTAGTTTATTGGTCTAATTCTGAATGATTAGTTTATGTTAATTGTTTATATTTTTCTAAGAGTTTTTAAGTTTTTATTTTTTTAACTTTATTAATTTTAATTTTATCAATTATTAATTTAATAAAATACTAAAAATTATTATAACAAACCAAATGAAATTAAGTGTCCGCACTAGTTAAATTATAATGAGAAAGCTAAATTTTTTATAATAGGCTTAGGTTATTATTGGCATATAAAATTATGATAAGAAAGAGTAAGATAATATTATAAATAAAATAAAATTAAATAATATCATTTTATCTAATATTTGATATATGTAAGAATTAAAATATGATAATTTATTTATTGGTTAAAATTATTTATTTTTAAAGTTTATATAATTTAAATTATTAATATAAATTTTAAAAATATAATATGATAAATAAATTTAATTTCATAAATTAAAAATAAATTTTTTATTTAAAAAGAATTAAATTATCTTATATCAAAAAAATATAATACTCTTTATAATTGTATCATTTTCAATTAAATAAAAATTAAATATAATATAAAATAATTATTATATTTTTTATTTATTATTTTATACATCAAAGATACATTAAACCTTTAATCTCAAAATCGTAAAGTCCACGAGTCGTTTAATAACAAGGTGTCGAGATATGGGAAGCCCAAACCCGTCCAACATTTAAACCGGCCCGAAGATCTCTTTCAATTGATTGGCATTGGGTTGGATCTATACACAAATATCCTTTCCACTTCCAAGTTCTGACTCAACGGCGATCCCATACCAAAACCCCGACGTAGCAAAGTCAAAAAGTAAGCCAAAAGCCCCATGGCCATCGCCGCCGCCATTTCCCTCTCAATCCAACCCCAAACCCGCAGTTTCTCAGTCGCCATCACCGCCCTTTTCGATCAACTTCTTCTCTTCTTTCCGATTCTTTCCGTTCCAACTTTTTTTTCTCAAAAACACTAAGTTTCGAGTCTCCGCATTTTCCATGAGCATCGGAACTCCAGCGAAAGTCACCGCAACGTCGTTTCTTGACCGAAGAGAAAGTAGGTTCCTTCACTTCGTTAAGTACCACGGCCTTGGAAACGACTTCATTTTGGTAATTTCTCTAATTCATTTCTCTTGGCTGAGAAAAATGTGACAGGTATTGTCTTAGCTGACTTGTTGTGTGTTGCCATAGGTTGATAATAGGGACTCGACCGAACCAAGGATTACGCCGGAGCAAGCAGTGAAGTTGTGCGATAGGAACTTCGGTGTCGGAGCTAATGGAGTGATTTTTGCGATGCCAGGAATCAACGGCACTGATTATACCA